ATAAAGCTTTTTTTTTTTTTTTTTTTTGTCTTGAAGTTTTTATTTTCGAACAATGGTCACATCTTTAATCAGAACAATGATACCCCAACTAACAATCTAATAAAGTTGACTTTTAAAAGAAATTCCAAAAAATTATATAAAGTCTAAAAGTTGGAAATGGCGGATTATCCTGCAGCTGGTTCGATTTTTTTTTCAATTATATAATACATTATCTCCGTACGTACATTTTATTATTATTATTAAAATGAACTGATCGAATTTGTAATCATCATCTATTTATATATATGCCTCTGAATAAATATTTTTTTTAAACATGCGTTTTGTTCTTATTAGTTATTTATAATAAATGCTACATTTATTTGAAACAATTTATATATATTAATTTAAATTTGATCACATGTTTGGTTAGTTAAATAATAATAATAATAATAATATATATTGACATTTCTGAATTTTATTTATTGCTAAAGATAGAATTGCTTCATTTTAATTTCTTATTCATCTTTGGCAAATTAATAAGGTTTTTAATACAATAAATAAAATTCTTTGCAAATAAAATAATAACTGTTAATTTTTAGAAATATTATATTCGTAACATCTCACTTATGTTTATAACACCTTATATAATAATTATGTAAACTAGATTAGGGTAAAAGTATAGATTTTTAGTATATTGTATATTTAATAATATTGTGTTATGAATATAACTTTCCTAATTTTAAATTCAAAATATTTATAATGTTTGCCTTTTAAGTATATTGTAACAGATCCATATTGTAATAATAACCAATAATAGTTTATACCAGTGTTTAGTACTCAGTGTTCTCTGAGAACATTAAAGAACTTTATTAAAATTTTTAAGAACTTTATTATTAAAAATTTGTTCTCTATTTTGAGAACATTTGATAAATTTTTTTGATATTAAAAGCTTTTTTTGGATGTGTGATAAAATTTTTTTGGTTACTTTATATAAATATATAACAATTTTGCAAAAATTATATGCGGCAACTGTTTTAGTTGCGGAAATTTAGCGCGCAAGCTCCGTAACCAATTTCAAACACCAGTTATGAGAATGCTCATTATACCAAAAAAAAAAAAAAAAAAAAAAAAAAAAAAAGCTTTATTTTTAGCGGTGCATTATTTCATTAAATAATGTATACTAAATAGAGTAAAAAATCATATCAAAAATTATTGAAATGATTGAAATAATGGTTCTACGTAGAAATATAATTAGTAGAAAAAAAAAGGAATTTATCTAAAGCATATGCTTTAAAACAATCAAACGTAGAATTTCCCAAAGGCCATTGTTCTGAAAGCTTTGTTACTTACATATTTGTTTAATTCGCGCACAATTCATGCATGAAGTACTTCTGAAGCGTTCGTCTTTCAAACATTTCAATATATGCCAGTTTTTTTTAACTGGTATATTCATAGACAACTCATATTTGTCATTTTATACATATTATCAATTATCGTTATCCACAATTAATTATTAAAGCAGTCCTCATTGGACGAAATTTAATAATGATAAACGGAAATAAATGACAAATATGGTCACTTCACAATTTAACAATGTCGCGACTTTCAAATAATTAGGAAAAATTTTGTTTATTGGCATTCCAATTTTACAATAGTTTCCTTTCCCTTAATTAAAGTTATGCCCAATAGGCAAATTTTTTGATTTAACTGTTAAATTTGTTTTACACATTATACATCATAGAATGATTGGCGTACATACCAACCTATTATAAACGCGCTCTTGTTCGATAGTTTTGGGCTGATAGCATAAATAGCATATAGAGTATAGCATATTTAAAGATGCATATGTCAAGTTACTTGTCATTAATGAATCGTGAATGAGTGAAAATCGCGAAAAAAAAAACATTACAATAAATATGTTTAAACTATATACAGTTTAAATATGATAGTAAGTATTAATCTCTTGCCTATTTGATTACATGTAATTAATTATTTTATCGGATATTAATATAAGATCTACTACTTCATAGGATATGTAAACTGATTATCCAAATTTTCTATGCAAATTTTCTATGGTTATGTAAATGTGTTATTAATAATATAAATGCATATAGTAATATAATAATAAAATATTTAAAACTATCTTTCATATAACACCATAATATTTTAACAGAACTTATTATAAAAAAAGAAAATATGTCGTGATTCGTTTTTAAAGCATGTACAAAATTTAAAGAACCTATAGGAAAGAAACCTCTTCAAACAATGAACTTCAATTTATTCAGTTAGGCTCGAACAAAGAAAAAAAAAAAAAAGACGCACTCTCTCGTTTTGCATGTGTCATATAAGGTTAGTATTAAAAGCAATTATTATATTTTTTGACAGTTTGGCGAACAAAATGATACTGTAGGGTGTTGTTTAAAGTGGTGTGTGCACATTGTAGATCAAAACATTTTAATATTAATTGTCATTTGTCATTCATATATATATATATATATACACATATATATATATCAAATATGTAATTTTTTTTTTTTTATAATGTAAAAAAAAAAAAAACCAAATATTTACAAGATGAAAAAAAACAAACAGTGCATATCTAACTGTGTTGTAACACGTAATCTTAAATGCCATTGTTTATTATACTTTTTCTTGCATAATGCATTAAACACAAAAAAATAGCCTCAACACCTGCTAAAATCTTATTAACAAATGTTATCAATTAGATTTTTTAAAGTATTGATTTTCGTTACATACATACAAAGAGGACAACTTGTTAAAAGGATTACCATTAACAAGCTTAATTGCATGCATCATAAATTGAAAGGAAAAAGATTTAACTCTATTAATATAAAGATTTTTTCTTTCCTTGTTTTAGTTTACACATATATATATATACTGTATATCCTTAAATCAAATTTTCAATTGAATATGTTTCTTGAAACTTTTTTTTAATCTCTTTTTTTTTTTTTTTTTTTAAACGAAATCACAATTGATTTATACTTATTTGTATAAAGTAAATCCAAATACTTTTTTTTTTTTTTTTTTTTTCTAAATGTACGAATAATTCTTGCATAAGTCGAACGACAAAAAAAAAATGAAATACATATCTGTTACTTTACGCACGTGCGTGGAAATTGCTAAATAAAATTTTAAACGGTAAGTAATCAAACAACGAACATATATCGGGTACACACATCAACGCCAATAAAAAAAAAAAATTTTGTAAATTCGTATTTTAACGAATTATATAAAAAAAAACTATTTCTATATCGAAAATGCGCGTGAATTTTTTTTTTTTTTTTCTTTAAAAAAAAATTCTCCCTACAGAACTTCGATTATCTGTTACCTGTTGACGTTCTTTTATGACGTAACAGGATTTCCCCTCCTTTAATCGCTTGGTCGACTTCTTGTAGGAGTCTTTCTCCCCACTCTGGCACAACACCTCTTGTTTCCGTTTTTACGTGGCCATTACTTATGTTACCATTCCATCGGGGGAATTTGGTAATGATAATTTCGAAATTTTCGATTTTTAATTCCTCTTCTAAGGCCATTTGAAATTTACCATCTATTCCATATAATGAATATGCATATTGATCTATTCCGTATTGAAGGCATGCTGAAGCGTGCAAGAGAGATTCAAAAAATGGTTTTAAAAAGTGAGTTCTCGTTGTGTTCCCTTTTGTCACTCGATGCTCATTCATTACAGACATTCCAGATAAAGAAGAATATCTATTATTATTATTATTATTAAATTCGAATGATTGTCCACTCCTTTGTTCTTCTTCAAATCCTGAACATAATGAATACTCTTGACTTTCTCCTCTACCACGACATTCTTTAACCATAACCCAATTTCCTTCTTGTTCTTCCCTTAAAATAACACTAGATTCATTATTAAAAATTTCACTTTCTCTTTCTTGCCATTCTCGACCTGTTAATTGCCATGCTCCTCTTCTTAATTTTTCTACTACTGCTCCTCCAACTTTTTCCTCATCTTCACATGATCCGATACCTTCATATAACATTTGACGAACTATTATCATTTTTCTTGTACATTCAATGAACCAATTTATTCCATTAGGATCCGTTGGTGCCGCATATGGTATTTTTGCCATATTCTCCCGGAAAAGTCTCATCCTGCCTTGTTGATCATATTTACAATGATGTGATAAAAAATGTTGAATAGTGGTCGAATTAAGGAGACCAAGAAAGAAATGTGCTGGAAGATCGGTTGTAGTTTTTATCGTGAAGTAAATACACTTTAGAAAAAAAAAAAAATAATATATATATATATTATATATATATATATAATTTAAAAATTTAGAGGAGTTAATCATTGTGAATCATTGTGCCAAGAGGTTTTTCTTTTCGCGCCTTCAAAACGCGAATATATGCGTACCTGATTAGTTACACACACATTATCTTCATCGATAAAAAATCGTTGACGTGGCTATGTAGAGAATCGATAAAAAGATATTATAAGCTTTATACATTCTTAATTTATGAATTTATGATAATAATTTTGATATATATAATTTATTATATAATATGATAATAATTTTAAGGTATATATATAATATGAAAAATTATGAAAAATCGTACGTATAAGGGTGGCACAAAAAACACGTGACAATAATAAGAATTTACGCACGCGCATGCAAGAATTTATACATTCATTCATGGCAACAATGGTCAATCAAATCTCATAAGGAAAAAAAAAAAAAAAAAAAAATCAAACCTGATTTTTAGAAAAATATCCGTAGTTTATAGGATGAATTATCTTTGTACGTATATCAATCCTAATGATAGTCATTAAAAAAAAAATAAAAAATAAAGTTAACGTTTTTTTTTATATAAATATGTATAATAAAAAAAAGCGCTTGCATATTCTAATAACAGCTAGCGAGTTAAAAAAATTTTTCATATGAATGTATTATTTTTCCCATGCACAAAAATGTCGTAACTTACCCGCACTTACTAGTTCCACAGTAGGCGACTTCTCGCGAAGTCATCCCAGTTTGTAAATATTTACGTGCTTCTTTAAGGTAAATCCAAAATTCACTGGTTTCACCAAAATCTTTACGTACTTTATCTACGGCATCACGATCTACCATTATTAAAGAATACATTGACTTTTCTTGTTCAAGACTATCTTTTGATATAGTAGAACCACATGAATTATATGAAAGGAAAGGTACATAAGCTTCAGCAGGTGAACTTTCTTTTTTTTCAAGTCTAAGTTCATCTCCCATTTTTTGCCAAAATTCTGCTTCTTTTCCTCCATTTTTTCCATTCCAATAAAAAACAGGTCTTAACCAACGTCTACATACATCTTTACCAAATTTAGAATATGCCCATGAGGTACGAACAACAAGAGCATATACTGGATTAGTATTTGGTCCTCTATGCCAAATTAATGGATTACATTCAAGCCAAGTTGGTTTCATACTTGAATGATCACAAAGTGAAGGAAGATGTGCTGTTATTGAATGAAGGTATGCACTAACAGCTGATGTAGGCATTAAAAATGTAAAAGAATATGAACTTGTAGGTGAAGGAAGACTAGTATGTGGATGAGGTGGTGTTATTTTATAATGCATATCTTTATCAAATAATGTAGCATTTGGACTAAAATTTGCATAAGCTTGAAGTGTTTCTTGTAATGTTGCTTTACGATTCATATATCTTAAGAATATAGTTGAAGGTTCAGAAGTAATAGAAGGTCTTATAGGAATTAAACCATTAGAAGGTATAGATTCACTACGACGTCTAAGACGAAATATTAAAGAATCTGTTTGTATTTTACGCCAAACTTTAAATGGTTCAAATTGAAAGAATTCTACTAGATGACATTTCTGCCATAACCATGCCCTTAAAAAATTAATAATTTAAAAAAAAAAAAAAAATTAATAAAAATTCCTGCATATAAAAATGATATTAATTATATAGTAACGTAATTATAATAATAGAATACCTTAATTTGTCAGCAAATTCTAGGCCCATCCATTGGCTAGCTGTAAATTTATAGGCAAAAAAAAAATAATAATAATAAATAAAGGTGAGAAATTTTTATCAATATAAAATTAATAATAAAAGAATAATAAAGGAAATAATTAAAATTTTAAACTATAAAATAGCATAGCATAATCTCGATATCGGAAATTTTTTTTTTTTTTTTTTTTAAACATGATCAAATTTAGATCATAAACAAAATAGTAAACTTAAGGTCCTACCGTCGAAGTACAAAACAAGTTACAAAACAGGATTTTAAAATCAAAGTTTTCATTTCCGTGTACTTACCACTAATAAGGCAGATTTCCCCAGCCTCTTCCTGACATCTTTCTACACAAAACCAAAAAAAGTAAGCATAAGCTTGCATGCCACCTTTACCCAACACTCTTTCGTCAAAAAGTTCACTATCAGGTTCTGATATAAATCCGGTCTTTCGAATCATGTAAGGAGGGTTAGTTACTATATAATCAAATTTAAGACGTTGAGGTGAACGTAGTAACCATAAATTTTCATATTCCCACGTGAGTTCTCGTTTTGGAAGATATAAATTTAAAGTATCGTTACAAAATAAATGTAAACGATATAATTTAAGTTCACTCGCGTAAGAAAGTTGAGAGAAACGTTTGTAAAGAGGTAATAAGTGTATCGTTATGTTAAGTTTGCAAAGGTGAAACGCAAAAGCATCAATTTCTATACCCCAAATATTTTTTGTTAAAGACTGAAGAAGATGGGAAACAGCTTTTGGATCATGCCACACTGAAGGACATTGTTGTGCAGCAAGAGTCAAACGATGTATGAACTCACAAAGGAAAGAACCTATTCCCATACAGGGATCCAGAACACTCGGAGCTTGAGGATAAATTCCCCAAGATGATGATACGATTGAGGATTGACCGGTTGGACAGCTCATAACATTTTTTGATTGAAAAGAGCCTCCAAGAAGTTTTTCAATCCATGTACCAGTACCTCTACCGAGTAAAACACGATCCCACATGAATTTCATGACCTCCCTTGGTGTGTAAAATTGACCATGATCTTTTTGATGTTCTTTAGCAAACACGTTTAAGAAATGTTTTGTATAAAACATTGATAATATAGATTCAGTGATATCTAATGAAGAGAAATAAATTGAAAATTTTCTAAAACGGTCTGAAAGATCACAATGATATTGAGGTTGAGATCGTATAACCCCACGATAATACCAAAAGAATGCCTCTAGATCACTATTATTTGGTTCTATTTCAACAGGTGAAGAATGATACAATAAAAAATTGTCTGCATCATCAAAAATGTTCATAAATTTTTCTATAGATAAACGTCTTGTATGTGGTCCTTCCTCATGTTCACATAAAAAATCCATAACGATGATTTCAAAAAACAAATGGATCACGGTTAAAAAAGCAGTCATCTGGCAATAAAAATTAAATATATGACTATATAATTCAACGTCGGAAGGTAATGTAATAGAAGTGTTTGAGGGGGAAAGGATGGAACGTAGGTGTTCCACGGTTTTTATGAGAGGGGGTTTAATGTTTGCAGACTGTGGATAAGAAGATTCATTCACAAGCTTATTAAATTCGCGGATAAAGCTTGCAGGTATTAAATGATCTAATTGATTGAAGAAGAATTGAGAAATATATTTATTTATTATTTATATTATAAACACGCGTATTATAAAATATTATAAAAAAAAAAAAAAAAAAAATTTTTTTTTTTAGTTCTAATAATTTTATTTGATATTTATTTTCATTTATTTTCAAATATTTTATCATTCGTTTATATATATATTTTTTTTTTTCTTTTGTTGTTTTTTTTAAGGGGAGTAAAAATGGAAGGTTATTATTATTATTATTTTTTTTTTTTTTACCTCTATTTGGATTTAGAACAGTTCTCCAAATATTCACTTTTATTTCTTCCAACACAGTTCCAAGAATCTCAACTATCTTACCAACTTGGTCTTCGGATAAAGTATTTGCAGAGAAAGACGGATAGTTTGAAGGAAATAAAGATTCTTGTTTTCGAAAAGAGTTTGGAGAATCGATAGTTGGAAGACCTTGGGCCGGATTTACGGGCTTGAAAACGAAAGGCGTAGCGAATGTAATGTCAGAATTAGGAGCTTTATGTTTTGGCACTTGAGAGTCTTGGAAATAGCAATCCCAGGGCTCACAACTAGGATCCACCTCTTGTTCGTTGAGAACTATGTCTAACCAACCAGTCTCTGTATTTTCGGCAACACCGTTGCTTTGCGAGGTTATTCGAATTCTTTTTGTCAGAGGCATGTCGACTCGCATGTCATCACTGAGGTTGCTAGCATTCTGCATTGGCGTCTATAATGAATGTTCTTTTATTTTAAAAAATCTATGTTAGAGAGGTGATCTTCCGAAGAAAGGTGAGTCTAATGAAGATGGAAGTCTAAAAAGCCACCGCTTTTGTGCATATTCAAAGCCGTCTTGTAATAAGGACGGTCTTGTGTTTATCGCGATGGAATTTAAACAAGCTCCGTCTTCCAAAAATTGCCTACTCGCACTTTCCGCGGGAATTGTTATGTTTAAACGATTTATTTGGTAGAACGAGATAACACAAAGCGATGGCGAAGTTGAAGAAGAGTAACATTGTTTTGAGTTTTAATGCATTTTTCACACTAACCAGCACAAAATTATTGATTAGACCACGTGATTGGTGTTTCAGAGGGAAATTTAAGATAAAACAGAAACATTATTAAAGGTGGATAAAAGTATTTTAAATAATAGGGTATACCCCAATATTGTATACCTTTTAATGACCCTATAAAACCGG